CCCGCGACGCCCAAGCCCCAGCTCCGCGGTCCCCACGATGCACTCACAGAGGCAGAGGGTCCGTACGGGCCCCCAGCGGCTGCGGCGTCGGCGGGTGGCGCGTCTGTCGCTCCCTTGGTCCCGGCGGCCCCGTTCCGGCGCGCGTCCCCTCCTCGGGCCCCAGCACCAAGCAGCAGCGCCTCCACTTCCGGTCCCCCTGCCACTCAGGCAAATGGCTTCCGGAAGTCCCGCCCCGTGCTACGGGGACCGCGGCCGAGCTGACGCGGCTCACTTTCCCTCGCAGTCGGCGCTCTCCGCTTCGCGCGCAGGTGCCCGAGCATCCGCGCCCATTTGCCGACTTTGTTCTCTTTTTTCCCCCCCGACTTGAGCGCGACTGGAGGCTCCGTCTTGCATGTAAAACTGCCTTCCTGTCGTGATAGGATGATGGAAATCATCCCGAGATGGCCTTAGGGACTGTGTAGCATTACCTCACGCTGACGCCATTCCCTTCTCAGCCATCCAATCTGGTTTCCTCCACCCACGGGACAGACCAGATTGCAGAAAATGGGGAGAAGTAGGCCCGAAGTGAAAAGAAGCAGTCCCTTACATTTACGGACAGAATTTCTATTTCTGTGATGAACTTTGAAATTGTGGGTCACCGCCTCTAAGGTGCTATCCCTTAGGATGGCCGAGCCCCCAAGTCTTTACCTTAAGGATCCATCATCCAGTTTAGAGGAGTACGTACAGAGTCAATATTGAGATGAGAGGCTCACAGCTGGATAAGTGCGGGACCGGCCAGCACCAAGAGGAGGGCCAAGAGATTGCGTCATCTTTAGCAGAGAAACGTGGTTGGAGCAGTGCCAGGACTGGCTCTTTAGTGATGGGTAGGAGTCTTTCAAACCTATGATGGTGAACAGCAGAGCATTCCAAGGCTGAAATTGATCGACAGTTTCAGGTTGTGCTAGGAAAAACCTCTGAGAATGTTGTTGAAACCCGTGAGCCTAAACTATCAAGATACTACATTTTCAAATCACCAGTGTTTTGTGCTGCTCGTGTTTTTTTCATGATACCGAATGACTTTGCCATTGCTAATTTACCTCATAACTCTCCTGTAGATATTCCGGTCACGCATGGTACACTAGCAAGAGCTCAGTAAGTGCTGTTTAAAGTGTTTTGTTCAAAAGAATTAGTGTCTGGGAACTCAAATGATTGCTTAAACAGTCTAGAAATACATTGATAAGAGAAACAGCTTGAATTAGTCTCCAGTGATAAAGCCCTATGTCCTGGTTGTTTCTGTCAACTTGACAAGCCAGGATCATTTGGGAAGAACTTCAATTAAAAAAAAAAAATATATATGCCTCCATCAGATTGGCATGTAGGCAGTCTGTGTGTAGGGGATATTTTCTTGATTAAATTGATGGGGAGAGGCTCAGCTCACTGTGGGTGGTGCCACTCCTGAGCAGGTGGTCCAGAGTTGTAAGAAAGCCGGCAGAGCAAGTCAGTAAGCAGCATTCTGTGTGCCTTCTGCTTCAGTTCCTGCCTCCAGTGCCTGCCCCGACTTCCCTCCGTGACCGGCTGTTATCTGGGAATTCGAAGGGGAAGTAAACCCTTTCTTTTCCTGTTAGTCCCAGTGTTTTATCACAAGAGAAACCCTAAGATCCTGAATCTCCCCACACAAACACACACATTTGGACGTGATCTTGCATTCATGAGAAACCCTAAGATCCTGAATTCCCCCCATACACACACACACACACACACACACACACACATTTTGACTTGATCTTGTATTCACAAGAAAGCTAGGTTGCTTGTTTGCTCTTTCTTAGGACAGGGAGTGTAGCCCAGAATAGCCTCCAATTCACTGTGTAGCTATGAACTTATGACCCCCTTGCGTGCTCACTTCTTGAGTGCCACCCTGCTTGATCTCACACAGTGCTTAGAATCAAGTCCACGGCTTTATGTATCTTAGACAAAAACTACCAACTGAGCTATATTCCCAGCCCTAAGAAAATGTTCTTCAAGCCCTTAAAGCTCAATATTATTATTATTATTATTATTATATTATTTTGGTAGTACTAGAGATTGAACTCAGGGAGACATCCTATATTTGAAAATCCTGGGGCTAGAAAGATGGTTCAGTGGTTAAGAGTATCTACTACTCTTGCAGAGGACCCAAGTTGGGTTCCCAGCACCCATGTTCCACA